GTCGGCGGTCCAGCATCAGCCTCCATCTTTTGTTCCTATATAATATCATAAATTGAATCTTGTTTCACATAAAAGTTTAGCAGCGAATCAAGGTGCTTCCACTATCTCAATGAGGTCTCTAAGATCGAATGTGCAGACCTGTGTGATAACTGATTAATTCAACAGACAATAAAAAGTGAAAATTACATCATGAAGCGAATGTCTATGGAGGCAATACTAACCACGGAATTTCAAGATAACTTAATACTTTAATGATATACCTTCTTTGGAGAACACCATGAAATAGAAATGAAGATTAAACTGGATAATATTTCGCATTACTATTTTTGCAGTCATTCTACCGCTTTGGTCTATCCTTTCTGAAACAAGATGACCATTCCTGACATTAGCAAAAGCAGACCAACCGAGAAAATATGTCGATAGTATCACGAATCAAAGGTAGCTGGATCATTTCTACAGAAAAACATCTTTTTTGTATAAATGAGCATATATCCTCGAAAGAAGTGAAATACACGTCATTTATGCCATCACCGAGGCAAAATATGCAGTTCATCGAAGATGGGATCATTAATTTTATAGCAGTTCTTACGACTGAACAGTTTGGTGCCAATTAGGTTGCATGTTTCATAGGTTTGGCGTAAGCAGTTAGGGATGAGACACCAGTGATACTGCCATAAAGAAATGTGCGAGACACGGACGAAGACATTAGTATAAGTAATGACTGAACTGAATAACTGATAGAGGTGTCAGCAAGAATAAACAGAACTGGCGACATTTTTTGAAAAACACTACTAAAGTCAAGTAATGAAAAAATGAAACGAGAAAAGAAAACAAAAAAAACTGACTGACAAACTTAAGAATAAATTGCGGAAAGTTGAAAAAACGTTATTATTCGTTTTTAACGAAATAATAATCAGGGTTTTCGATTTTAAAGCTTGAAAGATTATTGTTGAAGTACTAAAATAACTAAAATCTCTCATTGGTGCTTTGAACAAAGGCGCAAATGGTTCACACACAGCAGAAAATGAAGTGGAACAACGCACATGTACGCCGTCATGGTAGTTGATGAAGTATTCGAGGAAGCCATCACGTAATCGCCAAGCAATCAAATTCGGGTTTGACTTGCACGCAAGACCCAGGATCAAACCGTCCGGATGAGTGGAGCGAAATTTCAGCTGAAAGTCTTCCACCTCGCTGCGCCAAACGATAGGCAGATTGATTTGAGCAAAGCTTCCTTTCTGAAATGCGACGACCGACATTTCTAAAAAATTCTACTTCAGATGATATTCAAAAAAACAGCATTGATTTCTGAAGTGTTCAAGAGTCAGGTTTCGTTTAGATTCTCAGATGCACTAGCGTCATTAGTTATAGAAAGCTACGTCTTTCGCTTAGCTCTCATTTATAATGTTTCACGCATTTGGTTTCATTTAACAGAAATAGGCACACGATAGCATTGATTTATTCTGTAATAAGAGTCCTTCTTAGACAACGATTAAACTTGGAAGCAATAACATTCTGCTATTTTCCATTTTGCAATCAATTCATCTCTGAGGTTGTAAAAGCAGTTAGTGGTTTCTCTGTGAAAAATTGCCTTAAACACGCAGACAAATCTTGTCTCAGATTACCACTGCCTCTGACTCACCATGTGTTCAGACCGTAAAAAGTTTCATGACTGCGGCGTTGGATATTAAGAACTACCTCGCAGTCTAGTCCCTTAGCCGATTCATATTTGGTGACCTCGTTTGGAACCTTTAATCGCATGGCGACCACTTGAAATATCAGTGTTTGATCATTATGGGCATCATAACTGATAATCGCACTCTTTATTGAAGCTGATTCTGAACGGTCGTAAAGTTAAGGGATAAAATTCATTCTACATGACACTTTTACTTTAAAAAATCCCGTTTGTCCACTGCTGAACATCTTTGGATAAAACAACTTAGTAGCAACTGCACACGCTAATCATTCAATCATCGCCGCTCCAACTATATTCAAAAGTCGTAAAGGGGTCTGATCTAACTGATCCTGGAGCTGATTCTCTAAACGATGGAAAACGATCCATTACTGCAACATTAAAAACAGTACCTCAGGGAGGATTCAATTAACACTGATTTTCTTCAACCTAGTGGTTAGAGACAAAAGTAATGCACGTATTTGCCTGAAATCAAAGGTTGCAAACTAAAGTTCGTTTTCGGTCAGTCGAAAGCAAATGTAATTTTTTGACATAATTAAACAACAGCATATTAGGCGTCACTGTCTGTCTAAATTGATTACTACAGCGTCAAACATTCATAGTTAAGATTAAAGGTACTTGCATAACGAGAATGATCCAGCTTAAGCCTTCCAATAATTTTTGAATGGTATTCTGCACTGGAGTTTGACTTGAAACATAAGAAAAAAACTCAGCTTTAAAAACAATACATTTTCTAGGATTCCTGATTAACTATGCTATCTTCATGGCAACATTCACAAACGCAAGGAAAGTTTCTCTACTAAACTAGTAATAAATAGACTTTTATCATTCTTTTGAAGAGAATTCAGTCCATATCAACTTATGTAAGAAAATGGTTTCGCTTAGTATTCTGAAAAATATCGAATTGATTGCCATAGTTCTAAATTATTGCTGGAACAAGGAATGAAATTACCATTAGTATGAGTCTTTTCGCCCAATAACTACCATGCTCCAAACATCAGGTAAATAACAGTCATAGAGAGCGGATGTATCCGATTCTTTTGAAGAGTGTTACTGTACTTAACGAAAATTCCTGTCGAACCTGAACATGCCCCCACAAAAAATCTGCTATATGTTACTCCAAAACGGTTGCTACAAAGAGAGCCAGGTCACAGAAGATCGATGCAGCAGGCATTTTGTAAATCCTCAGTACGATTTATCACCAGTTACCTTGTCAGCGAAGAGAAGAAATTTCAA